TGAGTATCTGGGACTACTAACGTGGGTCACCACACCAGGCTAATTTTTTAATGTTTTTGTAGAGACACAGCCTCCCTATATTGGCCAGGCTGGTCTCAAACGACTGGGCACAAGTGATTCTCCTGCTTTGGCCTCCCAAAGTAGTGGGATTGCAAGTGTGAGCCACTGGTACCCGGCCTACAAACATGTTGCAGTATCTACTTGCTTAAAAATAAATAAACAAAAAGGGTTTTGTGGTTTTTTTTTTTTTTTTTTTTGGATGCTTCCAAATCGTTCTAGCTGATGTACCAAATTTTTTTCTATTCCTCAGCACAAAAGTCTTTAAGATAATTTTCTATCACTAGTGGTTCCAGTTCTATAGTCATGTTTTCTTTAATAAAAAGTTCACCAAACAATCCTTGGCAAGGCCATTAATGACCTTTCCTCCACTGAATTCGACTGGAAATTCCCAGTCCTCATTTTACTGGATCTATCGTAGTGAAAACAGCCCAATAGTCCTATAGACAGTTGTTTTTGGATAATCAGAAATTGACCCTTCTGCTGTTAAAGCTTAAAGCTTGTATTTGTTTTAGCTGAGTTTCTTCCTCAGGAAACGACCTTTAGGCCTCTCAAACAAAGTGTCAAAGGGCAGGGTGCAGTGGCTCACACCTGTAATCCCAGCACTTTGGGAGGCCGAGGTGGGCAGATACGAGGTCAGGAGATCGAGACCATTCTGACCAACATGGTGAAATCCCGTCTCTACTAAAAATACAAAAATTAGCTGGGGGTGGTGGCTGCACGCCTGTAGTCCCAGCTACTTGGGTGGCTGAGGCAGGAGAATCGCTTGAACACGGGAGGCAGAGGTTGCCGTGAGCAGAGATCGCACCACTGCACTCCAGCCTGGTGACAGAGCAAGACTCTATTTAAAAAAAAAAAAAAAAAGTATCAAAGAACTGAAATTCACGAGATCACCACATCCAAACAATGAGATATTGGACCCCTCATTCATCATGATTGCTTCCTTGCCTTTCTCACACGTAGTTACATTTCTTCCCTGCTATATAAACCCTAGTTTTAGTGAGTTAGAGAGATGGATTTGACACTGAGCTTCCATCTCCTTGGCTGCAGCACCCAATTAAAGCCTTCTTCCTTGGCAATACTTGTCTCAGTGATCAGCTTTCTGTGCAGTGAGTTAGCTGCAGGACCTACACTGAACCCCTGGTGTTTTGGTAACAATAGCTTTGGATAGACTTGAATTCCTTTTTCCTGGAAACAGTTTTTTTTTTTTTTTTTTTTTTTGAGACAGAGTCTCGCTCAGAAACAGTTTTTTTACTTGACTTCTGAGTGTTGCTTTCTTGCCTCCTTCCTTGTACCTACTCCTACTCAGCCTCTTTTGTTGATTCTGCCTCATCTGCTCAGTTTCTGCCCTTGGAATGATCTGGGCCTCAGTCTTTAGATATCTTTTCTTTATATTTGGAGTCACTCCCTAGATGGTCTCTTCACAATGCCAAACAATATTTTTATGCGGATAACTGTCAAATGTGTATCTTTAATCTGGGCTGATTGGAGATATAAATTCATATTCACTAACTTCAAATTCATACATACATTTAATCTCCTACTCAATTTACTACTGGAAGATTTTATTATCTATGGCATAACAAACCTAAAATATGTGGCAGGAATACAACTCTTCAACTATTCCTAAAACTTCTCTATATTTCCTAGGGATCCCACATCCCCATTAAGTTAAATTGGGATCATATGCATAGCTCTGGCAGTTAAAAGCATATTTACCTGCTTCATCTGTCTCCTAGCCTACTATAGGTACATGGAGACCATGTGTTCCACATAGTGTATGCATGAAGTGAAGGAAAAATGATCAGCATATGTAAGACTTCATGTAAACTCAATCGAAATTATAGAAAGATGCAGCACTGAGATCTAAAGGCTATTTTGTTAGCTTGCTTAGCATATCCCAATATACAGTTTGATAACGTGAAGTGAGGGTGCTGCTCTAAAACATACCTAAAATCTGACACAGTATCAGCAACTCATTAATGGCAGATATGGAAACTGATATCATAGGTTTGAAAAATTAAGAGTTATTTTATTAAATGACAAAGTAAGTGGTAAAACTGGCATCCGCAACAGCTTGGGATTCAGACCATGTGCCTAGAGCTCCTAGAAGAAAGGCTGGAAAAGAGCAGATTGGCAGGCAGTATGTTCAGGTTGCCGTTGATTGCAATTATCCTTTCTCTGTTCCTCTGCTAACTGTTGGATTTGTATGGGGTGAATAATAACTCTTCTTTTCAGTTAATAGGTCTGTGAATGAAGAGTAGCTTGGCTGGGCATGGTGGCTCACACCTGTAATCCCAGCACTTTGGGAGGCAGAAGCGGGTAGATCAGCTGAGGTCAGGAGTTTGAGACCAGCCTGGCCAACATGGTGAAACCTGTCTCTATTAAAAATACAAAAAATTAGCTGAGCATGGTGGCGCATGCCTGTTATCCCAGTTACTTGAGAGGCTGAGGCAGGAGAATTGCTTGAACTGGAAAGGCGAAGGTAGCAGTGAGCCAAGGTTGCGTGCCATTGCACTCCAGCCTGGGCAACAAGAGCAAAACTCCATCTCAAAAAAAAAAAAAAAAAGGCGTGTGGCATGGTGCCTCACGCCTGTAATCCCAGCACTTTAAGAGGCCAAGGCAGGTAGATCACCTGAGGTCGGGAGTTTGAGACCAGCCTGGCCAACATGATGAAACCCCCATCTCTACTAAAAATTCAAAAAAATAGCCAGGCTTGGTGGCGGCACCTGTAGTCCCATCTACTCGGGAGGCTGAGGCAGGAGAATAGCTGGAACCTGGGAGGCAGAGGTTGCAGTGAGCCAAGATCATACCACTGCACTCCAGCCTGGGCTACACAGTGACACTCCGTCTCAAAAAAAAAAGAGTGGCCACATTATATCTGATGAAGACTAGTAAATGTATCCTGCAAAGCCTGTTCTTTGTGCTGAGTGCAGTTACTAGTAGAGATTGGGGGTTGTCTCTAACGAGAATGAGTTGAGAATAGTCTATGTTTTTAAGAAGAGATCGAAGGATAGACTATGATAGAGGCAGTGCTCACCAAGTACTATAAACACTTCCTTATGTTTACTAACCTTCCTTGCCTTATGTTGGTGGTAGTCTGTGACTAATCCTGGCCAATGGACTTCAGTAGAAATGATGTGTGCCCCTTCTGAACTGAGGCAATTGAAAGCTGGGATGTATCCTTTATCCTCTTCTGTTTTGCAATGTTGGAGGCAGTTAAGCTGTATCAACATTCTAGATGACAGGCCTACAGAATAGAGTGGTGCTGTGCTACAAGCATTGGACTTGGTTCTCGATTTATTACACTATGTCTCTGAGATTTAGATTAAAATTGTTAACACATAATAGCCTAAGCTATACTGATTCAGGAAAGGTCCAACAAATCTCTATTTCAACCTTTCTCTTGTACTTTCTTCTCCTCCAGTTATCCTTGGCTCAATAAACAGAAATTGTCCTTTGTTCCTCGTTGCTCAAAACAAAAACCTTGGAGTAATTTTTGACACCTGCCTATTTTTTATACTTCATGTGTAATTCTTCAGCGATATTGGTTGACTTTTATTCAAAATATATGCCGTATCAGACCAGCCTGACCAATATGGTGAAACCCATCTCTACTAAAGATACAAAAATTAGCTGGGCGTGATGGTGCATACCAGTAATCCCAGCTACTTGGGAAACTGAGGCAGGAGAATTGCTTGAACCCCAGAGGCAGAGGTTTGCAGTGAGCTGAGATTCTGCCATTGCACTCTAGCCTGGGCAGTGAAACTCCATCTCAAAAAAAAAAAAAAAAGTCACTAAATTCCCTCCCTCCTACCCTCTACTTCATCTTCTGCCACTTTATCCTTCAGCCTTACTAGCTAAGTCACTTAGCAGTTGGGTTATTTTCAGCACGAAATTTAACCCTTCTGAGATGCAGTTTTCTCGTCTATAAAAAAAAGTCATATTAATAGCCATCGTATGGGATTCGTGTAGAAAATAACTGTAGTAATAATGATCAAAATAATTTTTTTAAGTTAAGCTTACATAGTACTTACTGCATACCAGGAATTATTTTAAATTAAATTAACTCATGGACTCCTCTCAACAATCCCATGAAAATTAATATTATTATCCACATTTTTAGGCAAAGAAAATGAGGCAGAAGAAATTAGATAACTCTCCAAGGTTGCGTAGGTAGTCAAAGTTAAAATTTGAACCCAGGCAGTCTAGCTCTAGAGTCTGAATGCTTAATAACTATATTTTGAGACATTAAAATATAAAATATCTGGTATATGTTCAGGGCTTGACACTGGTCCACCTTCTTCCCTCAGTAATATTGTGAAAATATGATTTTACAGAAGTTAAAGACAAATCTGGTATAGGAGACAAGTAAAAATAAATATGCCTTAGGAAATCTCTCATCACTACATGAATAAAGAAACAGTAATACGATAATTTTCAAAAATAAAAACAAAGGCAGTAAGAAACAATAATTTCCTAGGAAAAATTATCCAAAAGCATAATCCAAAAAAGTAATCTTTCTAAAATAAAACGCTATGAATCGAACCTTGGAACAAGTGTTATAGCAATGAAGTTTCCCCTTATGTCAGAATAGATTCTGTGAAATTTCAAATTGACTTAAAATGGATTCTTTCTATTTGTGGTCTTTGCTGCTTCAGTGTTTAAGCCAAAATAGCAAGGGTAAGCCAGAGTTTATACAATAGGGACCTATTTTATTTAAACCTGAGAAGTGTGAACTTGCCCCCTGTTGTAAATACCAGAAAGCTCAAATACATTTATATGGTAACACTTTTATTGGAATATATTTTTTTAATATGAACCTTTTTATTGATCACCACCATAAGATTAAGAAATGGCAACTGAATCATCTTCCTCTCAGAAATAACTGCAAAAATCATCTTTTGGAAGTCAATCTTAAAACCTTGAAATAAAAGCTTACCTCATTTGCTAGGATGAGAAGAGAATAGACCATCTATAGCATAAGACATCTCAGAATCCTTCTCCACTAGCTGTTCTTTTAGTTTTTCCAGCTGATAAAACTGTAAAATGATAATTAATTAGTCTTCTATAAAGCCATGCTGTTGGCCAGGCATGGTGGCTCATGCCTGTAATCCCAGCACTTTGGGAGGCCGAGGTAGGCAGGTCACAAGGTCAGGAGATCGAGACCACCATGGCTAACACAGTGAAACTCCACCTCTACAAAAAATACAAAAAATTAGCCAGGCATGGTAGCGGGCACCTGTAGTCCTAGCTACTTGGGAGGCTAAGGCAGGAGAATGGTGTGAACCCAGGAGGTGGAGGTTGCAATGAGCTGAGATTGTACCACTGTACTCCAGCCTGGGCAACAGAGCAAGATTCCATCTCAAAAAAAAAAAAAAAAAAGCTGCTCTTTGTTGGGGAAGAGGAAAGATGAAAGAAAGAAAAAAGGAGAAAAAATGGACAAAAGAAAGGAAGAGAGAAAAAGGAGGAAATGGAAACAAAGGAAGAAAAAAACAAAAAAGAGAGAAGAAAAAAAGGGAACATTCATTTAGGGGCTGACTAGGAAAGGTATATGACTCAACAAAAGATCAGAAAGAAATAGGTTTTGGGCAAAAGGAAGTCACCTCTAGCTGTTAATGGGGAACCTGTAGATATAGCCTGTGTACTTGGACTTTATTTTGTGTCACCTATAATGAGCAGGTCTTTTCAAGGAGCTACAAATTATTATGTCAATGCTTGGATTTCCTGAATTTTTTTGTCTTTTCTAGTTGGAAGGAAAAAGTATTTTGAGGCCCTAAGATTTCTATCTAGAATTCTACTTATTTTAATTTTTAACAAGGTTATGAATTGCCTTAAGCCTTGAAGAACTAACTACAAAAGTAGGGTTCAGCCTGAACCACTGTTTATCTTCATGTTGGTGCTACTCAGAAGAGAATGATGAGAATAATTCTGTCTCCCAAACGGCCATACGGTTTGCAGAATAATGGAATTGCACAGAGAAAATGGTGTTGCTAGGGGCCCCCATCAAGAGGGAAGCACTTCAGGCTCTTCAAACCAGCTGCTTCAAGCCAAACAGCTCTGCTTTTACATGTTTCATTTGCTGGAAAAACACAACATTTGGGGGAGAAAAGATTCCCACTGTTTAAAAACAGTAACTTCAAAAAACATCCATCTAATTATAGCCTCCCATTTTACAGATGAGGAGATTTCAGTCTAGAGAATTTGTTTGCCCCAGTTTTCATAGTTTGGTAATTGCAAAGCTAAAATTAGAATCCAGATTTCTTGACATTATATAGAAAGATCACTTCAGCCATAGTTTTGTTTTGTTTTGTGTTAGTATAATTTGATTTTTCTTTTCCTGTAAAATAGCTTCACCCTTTGTTTAGCAGGAATAGAAGTTTTACATGGTAGTATTAATAATTTCTTTTAAAAAACATTGTGCCAAGAAGAAATTTCCTTATAATTGTTATTAAAATTGATCATTTAAGTATTTCACATTCTCACCTGGTTAAGTTCTTCCAGTTTGTGAGGCAATGCTAGATCTGCAAGACACATTTGTCATATGAAAAAACGTATATCGCAAGTGATATTTAATTTGCTTCAGTACACGCGTTTAGGATCTTATGTAGAAAGCACAGGTCTTTTTCGTATGATTTGACATGATCCACCCATTCCTAATACAAAATCTCCAGTATATTTTTTCAATGCCCATAGTATTGAAATGCAATCAGTTACGACATCTGAAATATCTAACTTTCAACAATAAGTACAAAGTTTTTCTAAAGTAGACCATAGTTCTAACATGACCGATGATTTAGAAATAAACCATTTTTGCTGGCATGTGGAAATTCTCATAAAACATTAAATGGGAAGAAGAAAAGCAGGCCATGTATCCTATGCATAATTCAGTCAAGAAGAAAATTCTCCAAAATACTAATGCTAACTTGCTCCAGGTCTTAAAATTTGGGTACAAATTTTTTGTTTTTATAAATTTCACTTATTTTTCAATAGGAATCTATTACTTTTAGTTTAAAAACCCTGAATTTTAAAAGTATTTATTAAGTTATTCTTTTAACTGGCATTTTGTTGTATGAATACAGACATTTTTAGACTACTTCAGATGTTGTATGGGAGAGTAGCACAGTATCATTTGGTCACATTTTCTCTTAGGCTAGACTTGCTAAATTTCTGACAAAATCTCAGTCATTTCTTGGAAGACGATCTGATGGATATTTGTAAGTCAGATTATTCTGTTCTTCAAATAAAAATAATCTCAATTGGTGTAGCCTAAATTTTTCATTCATCATCTGTACTCTAATCATTTCCTAAAATTGAAAGATTTTTGATTAAAATAATGCTAAATTAACTACAAAAAAGCTGCAGTTAATTTGTGAAATTTCTAGAAGAAACCTATAAATATAACATTTTTGAAACATTTATAAAAGAAAATACTGGTAGTACTAGTGGAGAATTGCACAGATGAGAAGAAAACATGAATAAAGGTAACCATTTTTTTTTACTATATGGTTACCAATCCCATTAGGACCCTCGAATTGACCAAAATAGGCTTTTAATATTTGTTAATAACTCCATGGATTTAACATAAATATAACACAAAAAAAATCACTTAAATCTTTAGTGTAACATACAAAGGAGTAATTATTTCATTTAATATCAATTAACATTTAGAAACAGCAAGTCTCAAGACAAAATAGATTCTGTTATTTTTTAATAAATAGAGCTTGACTTTATCCTTAACTCACCAGTGTTGAAAGGTCTTTGGAAATCAAAATTTTTATTCAGTAGAGCCAGCAACAGTTCCTCACGATTTGGATAATTTTTATCTGAAAGTATTTCATTTCCTGTAATGATCAAAAACCACCATTTTCAATCTGAGTCACCGAAAATATTTCTAATTAAATTGGTCTTACAGGCAACTATCAATTTGTATATTTAACAACAAAAGAAATGTAGAGAGAGTGTATAATCCAAAGGGATGGGTCATTAAAAAAAGGATTGAATATATATTGAATGAATATGGACAAAGAGAGACAGACACAGAAAGAGAGAGAATATATGCATATACCTGGAGGGTTGCAGTTTTTCCTGTGATTACTTCTGAGTAGGAGAATTGGAGGTGAATTTTACTTTCTTCTTTTTAATCTCTGTTTCTAGAATGTTCTACTATTTTATTTAACATAAGTATAAACTAAAAATAGTTTTCAAAAGAAAAAAATAACATTTTATTTTGTGATTTTATTTGATATACACATTTATGTATAAGCCAGTTCATGTTCCATGAATTTCCTTTAAAACATCCAAGGAATATTGTGGCAGAGCTAGGATGGTGTCAACCTCTTCTGAATTGACATGTTTTCATCTTTGTCAATTTACCTCACAGTCGTTCATTCCTCAGCTGCCTAAATGTCTCAGTACTATAATTATCTTCATTCTGGAGTAGAAATTGAGACAAGAGACTTCTAGCAAGCTATAAAACATGAAGATTCAAAAAATATCCATTGACAAATAATTCAATTGAAATAATAATTAGTATATTACAATGAACTTTAGTGAAATGGCCTGAAAAATCAAACCTTTATCACATAATTTCTGTAAGATCGTTTTTTCTTCTCGCTGCCTTCTTGTACTGTTAGAGTGTGAGTAGAATCAATATTAATAAGATTTAAGTTTAGGAGTGGTTTCAGCTAGAGAAACGACTTATAAGTTGATTAGACTATTTCTTAAAATCACCTGTCTTTCCTGTCTCTACAAAATGTTAGTTGATAAATTCAAACAGTTAAATGGCTAATTAAAAAGAAGGAAATGAATAATTTGGGGTAGGTGACAGAATCACAATTTTCTACATTAACCAAAGACACTTAATTGTTGCTCAATTCTTCAATTTTCTTTGCTTCATAAACATAAAAATTATCGGTGAAATTTTCTTTTGAGTATTTAAAATACCAATAGATTATCAAATTTTGCTCAGCATCAATTTTACAAAGACTCTCAGAGATAGTTCAGTTTAAAAGAAAGACATTATTATGAAATAATGTAATTTTTATTTTAATCGTTCATTAAAAATGTTAAATTGTAATCTTTAAAATGTTTTCATTGAAAAAAAGACAGGATATTTCAGAGCCAGATAATAATAATTACTTGTTTCAGAAAGACAACTATGATAAGAGAAACAGATTCATTACCTTCAATTTAGAAAATGTATGTGACTAAGGGTAATCTAACTAGAAGAGTATGGATCTAAAGCTTTTTTCCCCTTAATTCACAGTCCATTCCTCTGCATAGTTAAGTGAAACATTTTTCAAAAAACAAAACTGATAGATTTGCCTTTCTTTATTAGTTTTGCTTCCAATAATTATACCTCTATAACTCTTTGTCTTCAGAAAATTCCTCATCACTCTCTCTTAAGAAAAAACACCTCTTTTATGGGAGTCTCTGAAGAAAAACTTTTCTCAAGGAATTTTAAAAAGTTGATTTCTGAAGTTAAGATACTGGCTAAAAAAAAAAAAGCAACAGAAAATGAGTCTTTTGTTTTTCATTTTCATACTTAGTTTTAAAACAGATTTAAAACAAAAAATTATGTTCCTAATGTTTCTATCTTTGAACAGAGTTAATATTAATAAAGGAAATATTTGAATATAAAATATCTGAGTGTAGACATACATTTGACACAAAAGATGGCAAAGCTGTTCCAACATGAGAGAGTGTTTTTGCAAATATTACACAGAAAATGGTGATTCATTACTACTCAAGATACTGAATCTTAAAAAATTTAGTTGTCTCTTTGCTTTCCATTTATGTGGGAGGGTTTTTACTGCATAGAGACAAGAAATTTTACCAGAAAGAAATCTGGAAACTCCCAAAACGATTATATTCCCAAAAATAAATTTCCCATAATCTTCGTGGTCGTGATACTCTTTCTTCCTCCTTTGTGTTCGGCAGTTTGCCCGATTTCAGGCTCATTCCCTCAGGCACACTTTTATATGGTCCCTACCAGATGTAAGCTGGGAGGATTGTGCCATTTGTCTTGGAGAGTTCTAACACACAGAAAAAAGCTGATAACCCCAACTTTGTAGTCTGTGTCAGCAGATAAATGCTTATTTTAAAATTATATTAAAAGACTAAAAGAAGTCAAATAGTGAATTTAAAAAATGTATACATGGAGAAGAGCTCACTCTAATCGTGGACTATTTAGATAGAAAATAAACTTATTAATAATTTAATCTTCCTTGTTTAGATATAGTAAAACTGAGATCAAAGAGGTCTCTGAGAGAAATAGTTCCACTGTGCTGCCAGTGATATATGCATATAAGTGTGTGGCATTCTGAGGTCAGAGGTGTTATTTAACTTTTTAGAGGCAGATTTTTCTCTATTTCATATACACATGAAATTAGAAATTACAGTTACCTAATCCTAATTTTGCAAAGTCTTCAGCAAATAACCACATTTTTCCTGTCATGTTTACATTATGTTAGAAACATTGGAAATTTCATTATTTCCTAGAAAGAGCAATGGAGACCGACCAAATGCAATGATTGTGGCTGGCCAAAGACAGAATGTGAGTGTCATGGATAAAATCCAGAATCTTTGATTCCCAGGCTTGTATTTAGGTCCCTGAGACTACTTGTTTTTCAATGGGTAAAATCCTCATAAATAAATAATAAGGGATTATGCAATTTTATTTCCTCTGCCAACAGAACTACTCTACTTTTTATTGATTGAGGTAACAAGGTCTAGTAAAATGGAATTAGAATCAGAAATTGGAAACTTGATCTCTTTTCTCAATCTAATGTCATGTAAACGAAATTTATTACATTCTGTCTTAGCTCCCCTTAAGTAAGCTGAGAGTAAAAGGTTATCTCCCTCTTCCTGACAAGGAAGTCAGTTAGATGAGAGAAACAGCAAGAATTTCAGGCTGGAAAAGATATTAGAGAACATTACTTTAAGTCACTATTTTGGAAACATAAAGAAATGTATTAAAGTTTCAATGAGGCTAGGTTGTTTGCCTAATAAATCACCACTAAATCTCGCTCTATGAATTCTCAGTTTAAGAGCTACCTTTTCTATAGAAGCACCAAAAATTTTAAATAAAAGTTATATACATTATAATATTAAGAGCAGAAACTTATTTTCACTAATTTTATCATGGTGTATATTTTCTAGCTGTCATAGATGGAATTATTTCATTTCACATAAGTATCCTAAGTATGTTGGAAATGTGATAAAAAATGTGTAATGTAGGTGTTAGCATTGCCCTCCTGAAACTGCTGTGATTTCCCCCAATGCTTTATTTTCTGTAAATCTCTGCAAATACAAGTTTCTATTTTGGTGTATTTTTCTTTGTTGTACTCTCTTTTCAGAAAGAACTTACTAATAGTCTTGTAAGATGAAAATCTCCTTTTCCTTTCCCCAAGATAGAGTTTTGAAATATGAAGAATATAATACTATTGATACATTCCCAATCTTTGGTCATGGACTACAAATGAGAAACAAGCACCCCAATATTTAAAGTATAGTTGAAGTGAATTTAGTGCAATATTGGATAAAATTAATTTGGGTAAAATTAATCTACTTGAAAAGAACAGCATTGAAGATGACATTTAATTCTGACCAGCAACTACTTAAGGGAGGTTTGGCTGTTAACTAATATTTATTTCTTACAACATTATTTCAACAATGGCAGAAAAATCAAAGTTGTTCAAGTAGAAATAGAAGAATTATTTACCCGCCTGCAGGATTTTAAATTGATGTGCATGTACCTTGGGTAAAATATGGCCGTCTGCGCACAAATTGTAAAAAGATCAACACAGATGACAAAGTTAGGAGTCCAAAGCAAAGAGTGCTTGAGAGGATCTTGTTCATGTTAAAAAATCTTCTGGACTAGCAAAGAAAAGGACTTTCCAGGTTAAAATGGATATTTCTATGGCTTTGGAATTCAGTACAGCTTAGTTGCAAAAGGCAAATGTGCCTCGGTTACGAATGCTCTGGATGAAGGAAAAGGAAAGAAAGAAAAGAAACCAATAAAATGCAATGCACCCCGTCCACATGATTCACTACTTGGAGAAGTGACAGGTTCGTTAGAGAGTCAATGGCAGGAAGAACCCAATCAATACATCTCATACCCGCCCATTTCACTAGAAGCAGGCGTTTCTAGGCATGCCCACACATTCAAATAGATGCACAAGGATGAAGCAAAATCTCTTGAAATAAAAAACTGTTGGATTTTCATAACTTATGGTTTAATTTCCTGATTCCAGGATTAATTAACCTCAAATCTTATTAATACTAAAGCTGAGAGCATAGAGGGCAGGTGAAAATGGGAGCAATATCTTTCATTTGACTACTTTTGAGCTAGGTGGTAGTCTTCCTGATAGTGATGTTATTTGCAACTATCACTTTATCCTTTTTTTTTTTTTTTTTTTTTTTTTGAGACGGAGTCTGACTCTGTGGCCCAGGCTGGAGCGCAGTGACCAGATCTCAGCTCACTGCAAGCTCCGCCTCCCGGGTTTACGCCATTCTCCTGCCTCAGCCTCCCGAGTAGCTGGGACTACAGGCCCCCGCCACCTCGCCCGGCTAATTTTTTGTATTTTTTAGTAGAGACGGGGTTTCACCGTGTTAGCCAGGATGGTCTTGATCTCCTGACCTCGTGATCCGCCCGTCTCGGCCTCCCAAAGTGCTGGGATTACAGGCTTGAGCTACCGCGCCCGGCCAACTATCACTTTATTCTTAACCAACTGAATAAACTGGCGAAAACCTCAAATTTGAAATGAATCATAATGGGATCACATTACTGTCTCACTGTATTAGAAAAGGATGGGTTCATTTTGCTGCAAGCAGCACTTTTAAAAATTAAGGCTGAATTTAATTAATTCGAAGCTGGCAAATGTCCCATCAGTTACTCTCTTTAATACTTGCTTTAATTTTGCTGGTTTTCCTTTTAAGTCAAAGTCTTTCGGTATATCTCCAATTTCAATTTTATGGCTCCAGGGATGCTATAGTATAATGACCTCTGGTCTTGGCATTTACTTGTCCCAAAAGACTTGGGATGTATCCACTCTAAACTTGACTCCGTTCCAGTGCATACACTGCAGCACATGATGGCGTTAACTAAGGAGAATGACTAATCTTTGTACTAACTGCTTGCTTAGTAAAGTTTCTGAATGAAATCTACATTACTTCATTTGATATTTAGGCTTGTTTCTCCTTTACAGATTCCTTTTTCACTATATATTTTTGTGTACCAGCCACATTAGACTACTAATGCATGAACATATCCTGCACTTTCTGCACTTCAGAGCGTTGCTGACATGGCTGCCTAGAATCCTTTATTCCACAACTGGCCATTTTACCTACTGATTTCTGAAGATACCGATCAAATGCCATCAGAACTGTTTAGCCTTTTGGATCTTTTTTCTGCTTTGTGTCATAACTTTTTTTTTCTCCTTTGGACTGCCACAACATTTTGTTTGTATATCTACTATAGTTCAAAACTCATTTCTCCTTTCATTAGTTATGTATTTGTGTGTCTGCCTCCACTATCAAATTGTAAATACTCTGAGAGCACTTACAGTCATAGTCATTTCTGTTCCTATGTGCAAGTACCATAGTGGTTTGTGGAAAAATGAGTGGAAACATGTTTGATGTGTGACTAAGTAATAACCAAAATTTCTAGTAATTGAAAGACAAAAATATAACTCCCTTAAACTTTACATCCAGTTATAAAGCTAAATAAGCTGAAATAATAATTGCAACACTTTGTGTCTTACTTTCTTAAGTAAGAATTCAACCATGAACAATGATGAACACAGATCCTAAAAGCTTATTCTTCCATAGCGTTTCAAAACCTCTGTCGTTCAAATATACCTTGATGATATCTGTCCTTATTTATTTAATAAGTTATTTAAATTAACTTTCTAAACTCTATTTTAAAACATTATATCAAGTTGGAAAATAGGAAGTCAATGTCATGTGATAGAGAGAGAATATATACATATGACAAAAAATTGTACAATTACAAGTCATATACATAAAAAATAAGATAAAATAATAAATCTAATCTATAATTCAAAATAAAAACCTGAAAATAGGTTTTGCAATGAAATTGGAAATTTAGATATGCACTGTATTAAAGACATATTCAACTTTTATTGCCTTAATTTAAAAAATTAAGTATAAATAAGATTATTCCACTTTTTAAAAAACATTGATGTAAACTGCATGAGGAAATCCAATTCTCATGGGTAAGAAGTTTTCTTGAAAGTGGAAAAATAATTTAACTGTCTTTTGATAAGGTTGAATACTGATTATTCATTTCTTTTCCTTCCTTCTTTCTTTCTTTCTTTTTTCTTTTTTTTTTTAAGATAGAGTCTCTCTGTCACTCAGGCTGGAGTGCAGTGGCGTGATCTTGGTTCACTGCAACCTCCACCTCCCAGGTCCAATTGATTCCCCTGCCTCAGCCTCTTGAGTAGCTGGGATTACATACCACCACCCCTGGTTAATTTTTGTGTTTTTAGTAGAGATAGGGTTTCACCATGTTGGTCAGGCTGGTCTCAAACTCCTGACCTCGTGACCTGCCCACCTCAGCCTCCCAAAGAGCTGCGATTACAGGTTTAAACCACTGCACCTGGCCCCATAATGAATAATCAGGGCCGGAAACAGTGGCTCACACTAATCCCAACTCTTTGGGAGGCTGAGGTGGGCAGATCACGAGGTCAGGAGTTCGTATTTATAATTTTGTTTCACATCTTTTTTCCACAAAGTCTTGTTTTAAGAAATCTGATATAATTTCCAAAATATTTTTCTGCCATATTTTAGGTAATATTGGCAAAGTGATGAAAACTAAGTCCCTAGCTGTCCTTCTGAAATGAAGGAGATATAAAGACTTTCCCAGACATGCAAAAGCTGAAGGAATTCATCACCACCAAACCAGTCTTACAAGAAATGCTAAAGGGAGCTCTTTGTGCTGAAAGAACTGAGTGCTAATTAGTAACATGAAAGCAGGAATGTATAAAACTCACTGGTAGAAGTAAGTACACAGTCAACTGCAGACACTCTAATATTGTCATGGTGGTATATAAATCACTGATATCTTTAGTACAAAAGTTAAAAGACAACACTGTTAAAAATAGTGCTTTAGATGTATAAGCTACAATAATTTGCTAAGGAATACACAATATAAAGTGATGTAAATTATGACATCAAAAACAAAACGTGAGTAGGAAAAGTAAAAGTGTAGAGTTCTTTTACATGGTCAATATTAAGTTGCTATCTGCTTAGGATAGTATGTTATAATAAGATGCTTTATTTTAGCTTCATGGTAAGCACAAAGCAAAAACCTATAGTAGATATCAAAAGACAGAAAAATATGGAATCAAAGCATACCACTAGAGATAAATTTTAATCACAAACGAAGACAACAAGAGAAGAAGAAGCAAGAAAGGATATACAAAACAATCAAAAAACAATTAACAAAATAGTAGTAGTAATTTTTTACCTATAATTACCTTGAATATAAGTGTATTAAATTCTCCAATCAAAAGACATACATTAATAAAGACCATACCCAACTATATGCTGTCTACAATAGACTCATTTCACTTTTAAAAATATATATAAGTTGAAAGTGGGCCAGGCTTGGTGGCTCAAGCCTGTAATCTCAGCACTTTGGTAGGCCGAGGTAAGTGGATCACAAGGACAGGAGATCGAGACCATCCTGGCCAACATGGTGAAACCCTGTCTCTACTAAAAATACAAAAATTAGCTGGGCGTAGTGGTGCATGCCTGTAGTCCCAGTTACTTGGGAAGCTGAGGCAGGGGAATCGATTAAACCCAGGAGGCAGAGATTGCAGTGAACCAAACCCATGCCACTGCACTCCAGCCTGATGACAGAGAGACTCCATCTAAAAAAAAGAAAGAAAAGAGAAAAAAAAGTAAAAGGATGGAAAAAGATATTCCATGCAAATGAATAACAAAATAAATGAGATAGTTAAGCTTACATCAGGTAAAATAGACTTTAAGACAAAAACTGCAAAATGAGACAAAAGAAGGTCATTATGTAATGATAAAGGGGTCAATTCATCAAAAGGATATAATAATGTTAAATATGTCTATACCAAATATTAGAGCAGCTAAGTATGTAAAGCAAATATTAATAGATCTGAAGAGAGAGATCAGCCATAATACAACAATAGTAGGTGATTTCAATACCCCATTTTCAACAATGGACAGATCATACAGACAGAAAATCAATAGGGAAGCATGAGACTTAAATGAAACTATAAACCAAATGAATCTAACAAACATATACAGGACATTTCATCCAACACCAGAATACGCATTCTTCTCAGGTGCATACCAAATATTCTCCAGGATAGGTCATGTCTTAGACCACAAACAATTAACAAATTTAAGAAGAATGAAGTCATATCTTGTATCTTCTTCAACCACAATGGTATGACACTAGAAATAAATAATAAGGAATTTCAGAAAATTCACAAATACATGGAAATTAAACAATATGTTTTCTAAACAGCTAATAGACCAAAGTAGAAATTAAAAGGGAAATATAAGAATATCTGGAGACAAATGAAAATGTACACACGATGTACCACAATTTATGGGACACAGCAAAAGTAGTTGTAAGGGGCAAGTCTGTACCAATAAATGCCTATATTTAAAAAAAGAAAATATCCCAAATAAATATCTATTACATCTCAAGAAACTAGAAAAACAAATCAAATACAAACTAAGCCCAAAATTCGTGAGAGGAAGGAAATAATAAAGATCAGAACAAAAATAAATGAAATAGAGACTAGAAGAACAATAAAAAAGAGCAAAGTAAATAGGACTTGTTTTTTGAAAAG